CTTATAGTAGGTACTATGTAACCGTAGTATATTCCGGTCACGATGTGGAGTAGTCGTGAACTCGTGACGTAGCCGACGCCCTGTCCGTGCCCTTTCCGTACTGAATTATAGGCCAAATTAAGATATAACCTTTCGACTCATATTATAATAAAAATGCAATACCTATGACATTTATTTTTTCCATTCATTAGAAACCTTGGAATAAGTATTGACGTTTCAACTAGGTATTTGACAATAATTGTTTATTTTTTTAAATGGTTCTTAATCTTAATCTGTGACTTTCCTCATACGACTTAAGATAAAAATTATTTAATATATATGATTAAATTATAGTTTTTATGGTCGGGTAAATTTTAAATTCCTACTATGATTAGTTTTGAAGTAACTAATGCAAATGATGTGCTATCCATCAATATTTAACAATTAAGCGTAAAATCGAAAACACGCTTAAAATGACGCAAATGGTGCTATATAAATTAAATATGGATTTTGAGTTGAAATTTATGTATCATTTTCATTAAAAAATGAAAAAGATTCACAAAATTGTAGTCTTTGTTTGTTATTGTTTGTTTTATAGTACAAATTTAAATACATACACACCTAGTTTTGTTCTAAGAACCAATTAGATATTTAAAAACTTTTAAATTCAGGTTTATTATGGAAATATGTCTAATTCATGGTTTATGTGTGGTCTAATTGTATTGATTAATAATAATATTACATATCTTTTATTTATGTTATTTATTTTTTGGGTTATTCATGGAATAAATAGTACACTTTATACCACGTGTTAGTCATTTTTTTATTATTATTACATAATATTATATAAAATGGATGTAATCACTAATTTCAAGAGTCTACTCGTCAGCCTCTGTGGCGCAATTGGCTAGCGCGTTCGGCTGTTAACCGGAAGGCTGGTGGTTCGAGCCCACCCAGGGGCGGATTACTTTTGTTTTTATTTTGTACACTATTCGTTTATGGTACTTATTGCCCTATATTTTTTCTGTCTAAATATTATTTTGTGAAAACGAAAATAAAGATGATTTGTAGACAAATAACAGAATCATGTATACAGCGCGATACTTTTGTGTTTATTTTGTACACTATTTATTTATGGTACTTATTGCCCTAATTTTTTTCTGTCAAAGTATTATTTTATAAAAACGAAAATTAAGATGATTTGTAGATAAATAACAGAATCATGTTTACGATGTGATTCTTAGTTATAGCATTAATACCTAGATGGCGCTAAAACTGTTTCGAATTAACATAATACAAGTATATTTAGATATCTAACGTCAGAGTAAATTTCTTATATTAATATTTCTTAATACTATCTGATTTCTAATTGTTTTTATATATTACACGGCTTGACAGATATGTATGTATCTATGTATGTATTAATTATTAATATTTGTTGGACTATTATTCCACAAAGTTATTTATTCTGTTCCATTTTAATTTATTCTTCAACTTCAGGTTTCTATTATGAATTAATGTACCTAAATGTATACATGTATATATATATATATATATATATATATATATATATATGTGCAAAAATGTTCAAAATAAATGTAGTAGGTGTAAAAAATATATTATATAATTATGTATAGTAATGAAAAAAAATTATTCTTCTTTTGCCAATGTAAATTTTTTAATACATTTAAATAATATTCATTAATAATAAAAAATATTCATATTTTTGAGAAGTGTTTATTATTTTCACAACCACCATCATCACCTTCGATAGCTCAGTTGGCAGAGCGGTGGACTGTAGTGTTTAAAAACTAACAATGAAATCCATAGGTCGCTGGTTCAAATCCGGCTCGACGGAATTTTTTGCAAAAATGTATTTTTAAATTTTTATTAAGTTACCGAGCAATTCTGTCGTTGTGATAAAAAATGTTTAAAATGAAACATCATAATCTTTCATATTTTAGACAATAATTTCGTCTGTACTTTGAGTGAGTTTTTTTTTTCATTTTTGTAGTTATATGTACAAGAAATAACATTTACTACCAGGGTTGAACTGAGCCGGAAAGACCCGGGTGGTTTATTAAAAGCCCGGGGTCCAAGAATAAATGTAGTTGCATCAGTTGGTAGCGGCACCGTAAGCTCTGCAAGTCAGGCCCGTAGAGAGCCCACACAGGCTGGGACCCGGCTGACAAATGCCACCTTGATTATATTGGTAGTCCGACCCGGATTACTGCCTTACTTATAAGCTCCTTGGCACGAACAAGATTGTTAGTAACGGGAACTAGCCATCTCATTCCTAGCTATATAACCTGCCGGGTCGACTCCCATGTAGTCATCCCCTTAACCCTCGTAGTTAATTTTTGGAAAACTGGTCAAGATAATAAACTTGATTTCATTCTTACACGTCATCCCTAATAAGATTGCTTGTCATTCTTAATAGGTCAGGTCTGGTCAGTAAAAATTAATAACTGAAGTGGATGTGCATCGATTTTTTTCTATAAAAAATACTATTTTTCTTCTTATGCAGTAACGTTTTGTTCCTGTCTGTCCAATACGCAAATAGGAACAAAACTTTTCCGCACCTATTCTTATGTATTAGGAATATTTTTAGCATTACATTTCTAAAAGATATTATTTTTTTATTTAGCGTAGACTCGGCATGGAATAGACTATCCCTTCCTTTTTCATGGGTATCGTAAAAGGCGACTAAGGAAATATAATAGAAGGACATATATAGAGGGATGGATAGCAGCGTCCCTTTTAAAACCATTTCCATGCCTACCAAGCTTGGCAACTACTGGTACAATTTCCCTTATGGGGAGTCCTATGTCCATATAATAATAATATAATAAAATTATTTTTATTAACAAGTACATAAGAAGGTGGAATGCGAAATGGAAACACTAGGACATGCTGTATAGGAAGTTTAAGAAATGGCTTGGAATAGAGCTGGCTGAAAAAAAATGCAGGATTTAGTTAGGTACCCTGACAAGAGGAAACAAAAAAATGCGAAATGAACATTTTGAACACTAAGCTATTTATTTCTTAATTATTTCTTCATTAGTACAAATTTACACATTAGCTAACTATATCTACTAATATCCGTTGGAAGTTATCAATAATCTGTAACCTTGACCTTGTTTTATTATGTTTATTCGAAACTTTAAAGTTACTAACCAGAATTATATTTTATTGAACTATATGTTATTTTGCGGAAATACGTTTAATAATAATAGTGGGCAATCTTCATATGTTGGCAGTCGGACGCAACTAATGGATGCAGAAAAAAAAAATATTTCCTGACATACTAATGATATAGAAATCTAAAATTTTAATAATATTTTCAGTATTAACAGTAATAAAATTCATCTAAATAAAAAAAGTTTAAGTCTAGTTCCTTTGCCCATAACTTTTTATGGGGAAAGCAACTAGTTAGCGCCAAGTTATTGCCATAGAATTTCACAAATAATTTTTATTTATAAATCAAATCATTTAGATATGTTAGTTATGTTATGTATAATTTCGTGTTCCGGTCATATTCGACCGCGACGGAATGGCGGACCGCCTTGAATTCAATCTAATACTTACCTTTCTAAGATTTTGCATACACGTGAGAAAATATTCGTATTATAAACGTCTGGGCATTACATCACAAGAGGTTCTTTGGTTGATTGATATGATCATGGGAAATATCCGGTTTCAAAGTATATTTTGAATATTAAAAATTGAAAAATAAAATTATTATTTTATTGTCTTTAAGTAGTACTATAAACAGTAAGAATTTGTTTTTTTTAATTATTTATTTGTAATGGATAATGTTAAAAACTGATTAAATAATTTTAGACTATAATTTACTATTTTATAAAATTGAGATTCCTACTAAAAATTACAAAATCTAACCTTAAAGGACCAAAGAGTTCAACTCCATCTTAAATAGTACATGAATACCAATTTTTATGACGATGAGTTGAGCCGTTAGGACGCTAAGAAGTAACAAACAAATTCACTTTTACTATTATAATAAATAAAATAATGTAATAACACCCATATCTGTTGTGTATTAAATGTAAGTAATCTATGTATTGTGTAATGGTCGATGGAGCGGACTGACTGACAAGGTCGGCTGTACACGAGTATATCAGATTCACTTTCATGATCGTTCAGACAGAACATTATACAGTTCGATATTGATATTTCTGGCTCTCCATTCAAGTATTTATAGATGAAGATATAAATCATGTTAGTTTATTGATTGTAGAAAATATACTCGCACTAAAACCAGTATAGATGGTATTTATAACACAGTATAAGAAATAAACAGTGATTCAATGCCTTTGTTATGCCCCGAACGACTATGTGGCGATACGGGATGGATTGCTCTGTCTAGACGTGTCTATTGGACAACTGATGGATGGAAAGAGTGTTTTAGTTTGTGATATTTTTTTGTAACAAGAGAAATCATTCAATTATCTACTTATTTATATATTTTTGAGTATATATAGAAGAAGTTCTTGAGTGGCAACCCCATATAGGCCAATGCAATGTGACTGTCTGCTATTTACTAACGTACTTTACAAATTATATCTGTCTTTTTTTGCATATAATCTACTATATATTATTTTAATACTAATATCAATATGTTCGTCATAAAACTGCAAACTTGTAGTAAAGTTGAAAAAAAGAATACAAACATTGAATACAATTATAATATAAAAACAAACATTTATACATAGGATAGATATAAATGGAAATTTACATTTTCACATTCACAGAAGATTTTTAAATTATGATATTGCTTAAAATTATTTATTTTATCTTTGATTGCATTCTATCATAAATATTTGTTGATTAATATATTATAATTATATGTTAGTCACAGTTTTTCGTTATCTAATTAATCTAAAATCATGACCGAATTAATTATTATTATCAATATACGTCTGATGAAACTGTTATCATACAGGTTTCATGAATACACAAGTACAAACGGTTGCAACTATCAAGTTTTTTAGTGTTTTATAATGCCAAGTAAATCAAAAGGTGTTTGTTACTGCACTAAGCATATATTCGGCAAAGTGGTTATTGTAACTGGCGGTAATTCTGGAATTGGCTATGAAACAGCCAAAGACTTGGCCTACAGAGGTGGACGTATCATCATAGCATGCAAAAACGAAGAACATGGAATAGCAGCGAGAGACAAAATAATTGCAGAAACAGGCAATAGAAACGTACACTTTCGGAAACTAAACCTAGCCTCACTAAAATCGGTGAGGCAATTCGCTGAGGATATTCTTAAAAACAAGAAAAGGATTGATATATTGATCAACAATGCAGGTATATATAGCAGCAAAAATGTGAAAACTGAAGATGGCTTGCTAGAAGGAATGCAAGTTAATCATTTTGGACCCTTTCTTTTAACCTGCTTGTTGTTGCCAATACTAAAAATGTCAGCACCTAGTCGCATTATAAATGTCTCATCAGTAGTTTACAAAAAAGGAAAGATTGATTTCAACAATCTGAATATGGAGAAAGAAACAGAGTCATCGTTCAAGGGATATCAGGTGTACTACAATTCTAAATTGTGCAATATACTTATGATCACTGAATTGTCTCGAAGATTGGAAGGTACCGGCGTGACAGCCAATTCTCTACATCCTGGCATCGTGAATACTAATATTTTTAAAGGTGTCGATGATAGGTTTACAAAAATTGTGATTTCAATGTTCAAATGCCATTTTAAAACTCCATGGGAGGGAGCACAAACTACCATTTACTTGGCTGTGTCACCAGAAGTGGCAAGCGTAAGTGGTAAATACTTCGTTGATTGTCATCAGGAAGTCTCCTCCAAAACATCCCGAGACCCAGAACTAGCTCGTAAGCTTTGGGAAGTTTCAGAGAAGTTAGTGTGTTTAAATAAATTGATGAATGACAATATTCAAACAAAAAGTAAATGTAAAGTGAATACTGAAAAACTTATTGTTTGAAAACAAAGAGAAGAGCTGATGATTTTATAATAAAATATTAATAATAATCATCAGCCTTTTATGACGAATCATTTACTACAAATAAGTGAATTATTTAAATGTTGTACTTTGTGTAGTTAGTGGTGTGCATTTGAATAAAAATAATATAATAATAGTAATTCATTGTACCTATGTGGATTTTAATGACATTCTTAAAATCAGTGATGATTCTAATAATCAGTGGTGCCTATACGAGTGTGTAACTAAAAAAAATCTTACATTTAGGGATTTCTTAAAAATTCTTTTACATGTCAATTACACATAATATAATTAAATAGAACTAAAAACTCCATCGATTGAAATAGCAAACAAGCTGAGGGACTACGTGAAAGAAACTACATACCTATATGAATAGATGATGATTACCATCATCTATTCATATAGGTATGAACAGCATTGTGACATCATAGAATATCTGTACTTTGATAGCTATAAAGATCAATCCTTATATATTACTATTTTGGCAAAGATATAGATAGCTTCACACTTATCCACAAAAAATACAGCCGAATCGAGAATTCCTTTTTTTTCTAAGTTACTCAAAAATTAATACAAACCACTAAAAATGTATTTTTAGAGAAAACCAAACATTATTTACTTTTAATTTTTTTATTTATCCACTTGCTAAATTATCAGGAAACAGAATTAATAACAAAATAAAATAAATTTGAATTCGCTATCTCTATCTTAGATAACAAAGATCTAGATAATGGGATAAATAATATGAAAGTGATAAAAGTAATATGTTTACTATCTATGTATATCATAAATTGCACCGACTGGTAGTAATAGATATGAATTGATAAGGGATATCAGGTAATTGAAATATTTTAGATCTTAATCTTGTTTATATTAGAAACTAATTGCACCAATTTAGTTTGCGTGCACTAGAGAGTATATATAGAGTTTATATTATATAGATATATTATATAGATAGAGCATCGAGCTTCAAAAACGGGTCAACTTTTTGTCAGCTTATTGTCAAATAAGCTAACTCGTTTTTTTATCAGTATTCTATGAAAAATCAGTATTCTCAGAAATGTATCTTGACATATTATTTAATAAATAAAAAGAGTGTTAACGCATTCAAAAGATACAGAATTTATAGGACAAAATAAATATAGAAGTTATAAAGGAATCATTCATAACTATTTATCACGCAAAATTGTATGAAAAATTTGACCCGTTTCTCTCGAAAATTTCTTTGGAGACACTCTATCTATATAATCTAAGATAGAGGTATATAATAATAATTTATGGCGTGTGCTATGTAGTTTGTTTCAACAGAATTTAATGGAAATGTAAACAAACAAATAATTGACTCGAATATAAAACATTTTGCTGATGTCTAATAGTAGTACAAATAAATGATTCGATTTGTTACTAATTTAATTTAGAAAGTATTTCTGTCATAATTTCAGTTAAGATTAGATAGTGGCCTAGTTTCAATTACCAAAGTTGACTATATATATATAGTTAACCTCCACGCGGCCGGACGTAAAAATAAAAGCCAAATCTGTTTGTAATATGGATAAAAACATGTTACGCCGACCCCAAATAATAATTGGGATAAGGGTAGGAAGATGATGATGAGGCAACCTCCACGTGGTCCTCCCTGGAAATCATCAATCATACAATAAATAATATTGTAAATATGAAAATTTGTAAAGATAAATACGAAAATCAGCAATAATATACACAGGTTAACTATAATCAGGTTAGAGCTAGTATTGCTAGTTAAAGAAAATATGCAGTATTATTTTCCTGAAACTAATGCTTGATCGTTTATTCACCGCACATCGATTTGATTCCAGCATAAACAACAATAATGTTCCGTACGATCTGTGATACATTCACACTGCAGTACATTGATTGTACAGTATAAAAATTTTAATCTAGAGAATGAAGAGAGAAAGTATTGGATGCTGTGTGATAGCTGACTATCGGCTTCATGAGGGATATTCAACCTGCGTTGACCGAATGCGCGGGGGAACGAACGCAGAAGAGCTCGTGTGGTAAGTCGCAGTCGCCGTTTCGCACGGCACGCGACCGCTCGTCAAATAAATTGTAAACTGACAACAATTCGCGATCGAACTGTTCACACGACACCCTGAGAAAGTGACCCATAATAGGCCTTAAAACCGGTGTTGCTGTATAACAAACGAAAGTTACGGATTTTTGGTGGTGCAAACGCCTCATCGTGCCCCTTGCGGTGAGTGAAAACTGTTATCGAACTGAATCCCAGTTAATCGTGTGATACGATTCTATTGAGATGGCATGCGATTTTAATTATATCGATTGAGTTTCGATTTCTTTCGCAGATTATCGTTTTGTTATATCATTAAGCATTTGAATTTGTAATTAGTTATTTAATAGCTAATTATGACGATTATGTTTTTTATAGTTGTTTATAAATTAATATTTTTGTACTCGTATGTAAAGATTGTACTTTCAAAAATAAAATATGTAGATACTAATTAAAGCTTAATACATTATTTAATCGTAGAAAGTTGTTGCAAACTGAGAGTATATATATAAGGATTTACGGCAACACGAGTTTAACTGACCATGAATTTACAAATAGTAACATTAATAATATTAATTAAGTCGTTATTACGAAACACAATAAAATTTCAATCAAAATATTTTTATAAGTGTTCATAAAAAATAACCAATAAAAACAAATAAATAAAAATTAATATATAAAAAAAAAATAACGCTAAAATCACGTTTGTATTGAAGATAATGTAATATTGAAATTTTCGACTGAATACAAAAATATCTTATGAATATATTAATCAAAATTTATGCAATATATAAAATCTCGTATTTCAAGTTTCGAAATAGGTTGATAAATGTTTACATAATTAATTTTTTTTCCGCTGTGAATGTTTTTCTGCCAGTATCGCATAACCGCTCGAAAAGACATCAACGAGTGTGATGTGTTAAACTTACGCAACTTTACTGTACTTTAACTGTAACTAAAATGTGACTAAGGTATTGTGTATGGAAACTGGAGCAAGTATGTTGGTACGATACAATTATGCAGTTACTTGCTATATAATTAGTAATTGAAATCTCGTTGTGTGGTATAAGTTGTTATGTAAACACGTAAATGTTTCTTTATTTTGTATCATTACTGATTATTATATGGAGTATATTATATTTTATTAAATGCTATCTCATAAATTGAACGGAAATATACATCTTATATATATTCGTTCAATATATGTTACATACATATATTGAACGGAAATAACCATAATATTTTTTTAAAATCAACATGACCTTTTTATTAATAAAATAATATCATAAATAAATTATATTATTAATTCTATACAAAAAGAGAAATTGAAGTAAATATATATGTTTTAAATATTTTTTACCTACATCTGCTAGAATATAATAATAACGTAAAATATTACATAAGTGTTATATTTTTTTAAACATGATAATATATTCAGAAAAAATCTAGTTTATAGTATACAACTTACATAACTAGATAATACGCCTTCTATTCTTTAATATAAAAAAAACGTTATTAAATTCTATTGGAATCAATTATAAGTATTAAAAAATCTATATATATATATATATATATATATATATATATATATATATATATATATATATATATATATATATATATATATATATATATATATATATATATATATATATATATATAAGCATTTCTTTAAAAAAAATAGCTAGGGAAATTTGTCCTTATATTATATCTATATGTAAATTATTCTATAAATATAATTTATTTCAACATTATAAAGAAGAAAGTTTTGATTTGTTTGTTATAGACAAACTCATAATATTTAACTAATTTTAAAAACTGTTTCACCTACAGGAAGAACGCTACATTATCAGTAAGTAACATAGACTGCACTATCATTAAAAAAAACCGTGCGAAGCCAAAGCCTGTCGCCAGTTAATTATACGTCACTAAGAATATGTGGGTCATTATTAATTACAGTAATATCAACGATAGAGTTCCCTAGATGGTGTTATAGTTACGAATACCACATGGATACAATGTCAAGTTTATTTTTTATTAATCAATTTGATCTTTCATTATTGTTATCGATTAATACTGATTAGAGAGAAGGCGTGTACACCTACACAATTTCAAGATTTGTGGGCTGCAAGAAAAAATTCTATTGCTCTCTAAACCTTGAAAATATTTTGTAATCTAGTAACTGTGTATATGCTAATAGTATTTTTTAATTTTACGTCGGTAGCAATCTTGTTTACTGCCACACATATGAATTAAAATTTGTGTCGTAACTATATCTACTTTGCGACCGTGTTTTTTTTAGTATATGCTACTTAGCTGAAAAGAGTTTATTTGGATCACTGTTAAATTTCGGCTCGCAATACCTATGAGTAACGGTCACGTCTAATTTTGACTAAATTGTAAAATAGCAGATAAGATGAAATATATATGATATTAAAGAATGAAAGCCTTATGACGACAGTCTATGGAAGAGGCCTATGTTCAGCAGTGGATAAATAATGGCTGGTATGATGATGAAATGTCAATAGAATCTGATCTGTTTTATATATTGGTATTCTTTCTAAAACACAACTATCTAAATCTACCTTCATAATCTATACTTATAATAAATCTGTAGAGAGGTCAATTCTGTACATGAAATATATTTCCAAAATAACTATCAGGGGGTCATTAGTAATCGATACTGATGCCAAAAATGCAATCAGTAAATTTTTTGTCTGTCTGTCGGACTCGACTCGACGGATTTTAACGAAACTTGGTACAATTATTCTTCATACTCCTGGGCAGATTATAGTATTCTTTTTATCACGCTACGATTAATAGGAGCAGAGCAGTGAAGGGGAAATGTGTCTGTTACTTCAAAACCACTGAACCGTGAGAAAGGACATAGGCTACTTATTTTACGAAAAACGACGGAAACGCGGACAAAGTCGCGGGCAACAACTAGTTAGATATAAATTTATATATCAAGATATCAGAAATTCTCTATCAGAGTTCGCAATTACTGATGACAGAATTTTTTAGACTTGATGTCATTGTACACTCATTTCGCTAAAAGAACAATTCAGTGAGCTACGCTTTCTTTATGTGATTCGTAGAATTAACCGGAGAAATATAATTAAACAAGATCTATTGGCTCTTACGATATCAATTACTGACAAATGCTTGCATAGTATTCACAAATTTTGAACATAAACTCTATTAAAAGATTATTATTTATAAGACTCTCTTTTGTATTATAGAATAGAAATAATATTTATTTAAATAGACTTATTTACAAGCTCTTTTAAATCGACATTTTTTTATTCTACTGCTGGGTTTGGAATGTTGTTATCTGCTGAGAAGAATCCGCAAGTAACTCAACAGTTTTTCCCAAATTATTATGTAAAAGATAATTTTACATCTCATAAAAATATCGATATCTAACTGCTGAGTTCTTACAAAATTTAACTAATATTATAAATATGGAAGTGAGTTGGTTTAGTACTACTTAATGTCTTATTGTCTGAACCAAGCACTTTTACATTTGGTACGTTAATATATGGAATGAAAAAATCACACAAGTACGAAGTCAAGGGTAAAAACTAGCGAATAAATCCGAAGATTCGAACATCTGCAGATGTCCATAATGATTTATAAACTGCTAGAATATTTATTTGTTTACATCATTAGAGATTACAAAGGTCTTATAAGACAAATATTTGTTATGTTACTTCCTTCTTTGATAACCCATTGATCGTTTGAATATTCTTTTTTATTTACATAATCTATAAATCTTCATACGATTTCGCATTTTTAACCGACTTAAAAAAAGATGAGATTCTAAATACGGTTCTATTTTTTATATTCGTTACTCCGTCATTTTTAAACCGATTTGGAAAATTCTTTCTTATTTGAATTGTATACTATAATAATACTTTTAGATTGGTCTTATAAATATTTTATCGATATCGATACAATAGTTACACCAACTTCAAAAGAAGGAGGTTCTCAACTTGGTTGCATTTTTTAAGTTTATTACCTAATAACTTCGTCATTCCTAAATTGATTTCAAAAATTATTTTTTCTCTAAAAGTTTTTAAATCAAAATAATTGATTTTAGCACTATCGAAGTCAGGGTTTTTTGTGGAACAAAATGTTTAATTTATTAATAATTAATTTTTAATGTTGGTATTTATGTTTTGTTGATACTGTTAATTTACTTTATGTAGGTATAACGTAGTCGTACATTATCTTATATATAAAAATCTCGTATCACGGTGTGTGTGATTGAACTCCTCCAAAACGGCTCGATCAATTTTTATGAAATTTTTTATGTATATTTGTTTTGGTCGCTAGGTTCTATCTATCTATCTATCCATTTAAGAGCTGCGCTCTTTTCGGTGGAGCTCTTGCCACTCACTACGATTTTCAGCGAGTCTCTTCACCTCTTGATATGACACGACACCAACTCCTTCCTTGATCTGCCTGATGTAACTATGTCTCGGTCTCCCTCTCCCCCTTCTTCCTTCTATCTTACCTTCTATTATAATGTTCATAAGTTCGTCGTGTCGTATCAAGTGTCCTAACATTTTTCCCCTTCTGTCCTCAATAGTTCTAATAATTTGTCTTTTTTCCTTAACCCTAAGCAGGACCTCCTCATTGCTAATTCGATCCCTCCAGCTAACACCTTTTACAGGCTAAGATAACAAAAGATATTAGAAAGCGGCTTATCAAAACCGATATTTGGAGTATAGCTCTGTATGGATGTGAGACGTGGACATTAACTCAGAAGGAAATGGATAAATTTGGAGCCTTTGAAATGTGGTGCTGGAGAAGGATGGAGAAAATTAGCTGGAGAGTCGCTAGGTTATGTGATAAAAAATTTATATAGCAGAACAACGATTACTGGATATGTATATAGAATGCTATATATTTTATGTTTATACTGTTAAACGTGAACATCTCGAATATAAACAGATAATGTAGTCGCGTGACTAAAAATAACATGTGCTGATGATTTTTTTTAACAAACATAAAGTGCGTCAACCGTCTCATTTACTGTTGCACGTTTTAAGAAAATTACATTTATGCACCGTCACGCGATACTTATTAATCTTAACCGACTTCGAAGAGGAAGAGATACAGAATTCTTGTATATCTTTAGCGGATTGCCCAGGAAATGTTTGTGAAAGTAGGTATATTGG